GACACAGGGAAGGACTGATTCTTGTCCTTGTGGGGCTGACCCCTATCCCTGATTGTCCCTGGGGCTGACCTCTTTGCTGTCACCCTGCAGGCTGCCCTATGCTGGCTACTTCGGCGGTGTCTCTGGCCTGAGCAAGTCCCAGTTCCTGAAGATCAACGGCTTTCCCAACGAGTACTGGGGCTGGGGAGGAGAGGACGATGACATCTTCAACCGGTAGGTGCCACCCCCTTTGTCAGGGTCCTTGCCAGCCTGGCACCCTCACCAACCTTGGGGCTCCTGGGTGTGTGGGGGATGTGCACAGGGCATGCCACACAGAGGGGAAGGATTTAATTACCCCCCAACCTGAGGGTTGGTGACCCTCCTAAATCAAACCAGCCCCTCACAGGGTGTTGGGGGGCCATGGGTACCCACGTGCCTTCCTTACAGAACCCCCCTCCCCCAGCCTGGTGGGGCCAGGCCCCCTCCCACTGCGATGTGAGCTGCTTCAGCAGGGCAGCATGCTTGCAGGCTCCACTCCAGACTGGGCCCGGGATGTTAAACTTGGAAGCGTGCAGGGCTGGGATACAAAACTTGGAAGTGCCTAGGTGGCAGCTGCACAGCAGCCAAACAGGCATTTCTGCCAGCAGGCTGCAGCACAGCGTCGTGCACCCCCAGAGCCAAATTCCCCCACTTGCACCCCTCCTTGGGTGCCGGAGCTGGATGGCTCCCGCCTCGTCTCCTGTGGGTTTCCCAGCGTGTGGCCAGCGGTGCATACCCAGCCTGTAGTGGCCGGGCAAGCAGAACACCCCTTGCATGTGCCGTGCACCATAGTGTGGTGGTTATTTCCATCCAGGGTGGGGAACAAGCAGCATGTGGAGCTCTGGGAGGGCTTCAGGCAGCCCCTGTCGTGGGGCTGGGAGGGTTGAGGGAAGGGCCAGGCACTGGCATTTGGAGAATGTAAGCATCCTGGCTGATGGCAGCTGCTGGCCTGCAGAGCCAGAGGTGGCTGGGCAGGAGCGGCACTTGGGCACTCTCGGCCGTGGCACTGGCTCGGCTATGGCCTGGCTTTGCTCAGCTTGGCTTGATACAGCCCTCTTTAAGCAGGGATGAGTTTATTTGGACCAGGGGCTGACCCCAGAAGTGTCTGGACAGGGGGAATGTCACACTCCCTTGCTCCCATGCTGATCTTACCCTGCTCCCGGCCCCCAGTATCTCCCTGAACGGCATGAAGGTGTCGAGGCCCGACATCCGCATCGGGAGGTATCGCATGATCAAGCACGAACGCGACAAATACAACGAGCCCAACCCGCAGAGGTGAGTGAGCCGCAGGGGCCGGGGGCGGCCGGGATGTCAGGTGGCTGCTGGGTCATCTCCAGCCATCGTCTCCCCTGCTCCGCTCACCCCCCCCGCGGGCCGGCCCCCCACCCAACGCCCCCC